TAAGCTGCCAGATCTAGTGAGTTTGATGTACACAGCAAATGACATATGGGAAATGCAATCTGAACACCCTCTCACTCCATATGAAGGGCATTTGGGCTGTGGTTGGCCTTTCTGTGAATAGGCCACAGTTGTTGAGACAGAGTCTTCAGCCCACTCTTATGAAGATTACTGTAGAATACATGATAATGTAGAAATAAAAGCACATTTATTGATTTTAACTTGAGGAGCTTTATCAGTCATGTACAGTAAATAATATAACGTGTTCAGCATGCACAGATAATATATATTAATTTTTTCTGACAGGTATCTTAGATAGAAAAGATATTTGTGGCGATAAAATACAAGTATACAAATGATTACAGTATTTGAGACCATAAAATATGACTTACTATGACCTAAGTTGTGATATAAGAAACATTTATAAACTGTGTTCAATTGAAATACAAATACTGTATTAGGATAATATGGGACAGGAAGTAATATGAAACCTGTTAAAAATTATAATGGTGCAAGCATCCCCTTGAATTGCAAACTTTCTTTTTTTTGTAATACTGGAACAATAAATGTCTGGGCTGAATATTTAATTATGAAATAAGAAATTATACACCACTGATGTAACAAACTTATTATTGAATTGCAGGGGTGCATGACATACATTTTGTGACCCAATAATACATTTTATTCAGCCCAGATGAAGCAAGTTGGTTTTTTACTATGTACAAGGAACAATACTGGATATTTTTATTTCCCTCAGTGTTTCTTTTCAACTTTATTGTTGAGATGTAGAGGAATGTTTACATCTGACGTGTTGGGAAATAAGACTTCAACACTGACTTATATTGACTGTGTCAGAAATATTTAAGTTTTATTGTTTATGTGCATACTGAGAACTTTGTGTTTACATTGTGTTCCCTCTCTTAAGTGTTTATCAGGAACTGAATAACATTCTTCTTCTTCTTCATTACTGATTCAATTTTTTATGTACATAGTTTTTTTAAAATTTGGGCCACTTAGTTTCATTTAAGATTCACTGTCATTTGCATTTATGTTTATACACTCCTTGTCTGACAGGAACAATTGACATGTTTCCTTATTCAACATTCATTTATTGCATTGTTTCACATTGTATGTGCTTAATAGCTTAGTGTTAATATTTTTGAATAATTTTGCTTTGAGTATACTGTATTTTTCTAATATCATAAATATGCCAAACTAATGCTAATTTAGGTTCCTTTGGCTGCAAGGTACCTTTCCATAATATATGCAGGATAGGATTACAAGGATAACTGACCTGCTTCATATTGGTGCAATTCTTATATATTCTTTGAATTTACAGTAATAAGGTTTGGATTTATACAACTTAACACCCAATTGTTTCTCTTTGAGTTTACTGCGTATAGTAAATTCCTGAATCTCTTACTGAATGTAATGGAAGGACTAATATTTGCAACACTTCTGTACAAGAGTACTTTATTACTTATATTGGCTGGTGGGAGGCGAGTTCTTGTTAGCCGTCTTCCGCTCTGGAGAGATGAGGTACATGGCTCTGTGTGTTGCCAACACAGCATGTGTTGCTGCCTGTAAGCAAATGTAGTTGCGGTCAAATTTTATTTAATTATATGTTATGAATTACAAGGTTGCACAAAGTAAAATAATATCAGAGGATTGAGGAGGAAATACTTGCAGTCTATTTAAGATTCTATCCAGCATCCAAGTGAACTTTGATGGACTGAGAGAAACCACAATAAACGTCATTCAGAATAGGTAGTTTACCAGATGAGATCTGGCCACAAGTATGACAAACTTAGATATATATATATACTCATTAGCAGAACAAAAAATCCTGGATTAAACACATTGAGCCCTTTAAAGATACTAGATACATTAAATGCTATTATAGACAACACAACATTGTGAGGAAAACAATGCAACCCTCTGTTTTCCTTTTAATCTGCATTGAATTAAACAGTGACCATTAAAAACAAAATAATACTGACATCCAGTTTTTGTACTTTTAAGATCACAGTTTAATGATTACTGTGTGGTAAGGGTTTTGTCGTGTTTAGCGAAATGGAAAACAAATCAGAATTGTTATGCTATGTATACATTTTCTAACTAAATATAAGAAACAACATAAAAATTGGTATGAGTGAAATTGTTGACTTATAATTTGATATTTGTGCACCCATGTTGCTTGCAAGAAATTGCACTGTCATTTGTAAGTCACGATTTGTTTTGTTGTGTTGTCACACTCAGTACATTTTTAAAATTGAAATACCAGCATTGTTTTATGTGTTTGATCCTATGTAAAAGTTTGAACTCACTCTGAATTTTCTCCGTGCATTGAATTCTCGTAGTCTTTTAATGGTGCTACTCATATGATTTTGGCGTGTAGTCTCACCACGGACCCATGGATGGTTCAGAACTTCTGTTGCAGTAGGCCGCTTCAAAGGTTCAATATGGAGAAGCTGTAACAACAAATGCAACTTAGCACATTGAAAATTATCAAAAATTAACAATGGGAATTATATAAACTTAAGAGCTACAAATAGAATGCAGATAATGTTCTCTCCATGTGCTTTATATGGCTTCATGGCTCACTGCTTGGGTGTTAGTGTCTTATGTTATGCTTATTAGTCTACATTCATTTCTTAAGGGGGAAAATAAAAGGAAAGGAAAAGAAAGTCATTTGACTTAGTAGAACTTAAATCCTACATCTTGAAACAGCAGAGTTATAAAAGTTTATACTTTTTCAGGATTTTAACCTTAAACAGAAGTGTTCATGCTCTGTAGATTACCTGGCAGTTCAACGCTGTATAATCTGAGCTACTTAATGTGTCACTAAATATATAAAGAAATATAATAGATATTAAAGGATAATAACTGACTTGTGTGATGAGATTCTTGGCACTGTCTGAGATATCATCCCACCAAGGTGATGGGAAACTGAATTCACCCTCGACAATATGTCGACACACAGCCATCTCTCCTGTATCATCCCAAAACGGCTCAAATCCACATAACCTGGAGGAGAAATTTACTTATTTGCTACACAGACTACAAACTTGTATGCAAAAAGCAGTTTAAAGATAAAATAGCAAAATGAACAAGACTTTTTCTTATTGATAGTTTTCAGAGTGAGAGAGGAAAAGGACTATTAAATCTGTTTGTGCTGACATGGTATAATCTTACGTCAGACTCCCTTTGTATGGGGTATGCATTTTGAGAAATGAAAATGGAAACGAAGTCACATTATTGTCACACATATGGATATGTGTGAATATCAGTCCTATTTCTTTCCTTCTTGCGTACATAGGCTTCTTTAAGTTGTGTGTCTGGATAATTCATAGCTAAAAGAACATAGTGCTGTACAGAATGGGGTATGAGAATATGATGGGTTTCCGTGGATGGCGATGTGACATATGTCACATCCTCACACCCTCACACCCCACCAGTATCTATTAAAATTCAAATTTCAATTGGAGTGAATAAAATCAAATGAAAAGCACTGATAAATTAGTAAGCAATGGATGAGCGACTAGATGATCCTAGCATCCTTATGGTCATCATGGTAAAAAGAAAAAAAAATAATTTCCTTCCTGGAAATTTAACTCGATCATACAATCTATTACCAGTTATTTTACTATCTGAACTATCTGGTCTCATTATCAGTAAGGAGGTAAAATACAGAATTTCTGAAGCCTTACATTATGTAAGTGACGACACCCAAACTCCAGAGGTCGACAGAAGCATCATATTCTTTGCTCAGCAGAATCTCGGGAGCTGTAAATAGTAAGATAATTGATAAGATTCTATTATGTACCATGTTTAAGGAAGGGAGTATTACAAATTATTCGTAATTAAAGTATCAAACCCCATGGATCAGAGTCCTCCATGAGAAGCAAACAATAGTTGCTCAGGTAGTCAAGAAATTCCCTGCGTTTTATGAGACCCAAAGGTTCCTAAGCGTTTGCATGAGAGCCAAAATTCTTCACCTAAAATGTTTTGATTGTGATAAATTTGATTTAATATTAACCGCTTCCCTGATTATCCTGATATATCTCGGGTTGATGATTTTTGCAAAAAAAGAAAGAAAGAAAGAAACCTGAGTTAAATCGGGACAATGGTTATCTTCTGTACCATTACTACCACGTATAAAGGGATCCTGTTGCTGCAGGTTCAACTTACCACAGTAACCAACAGTGCCACAGAGTGTGTTCATGGTGAGGTTCCCGCGACGCAGTATTTTGCTGAGACCAAAGTCTGCCAGCTTGAGGTGCGAGTCCTCGTACTCCGATTCATACAGAAGGTTCTCTGGTTTCAAGTCGCGGTGTACCACACCATGTGCATGCAGGTACTGTAAAAGTCAATATTTAACGTGTGAAAGATATACAAGATGTCCCAAAAAGATTTATAAATAGCAGCAAATGTGGTAGACGCTTTTCAGTCAGCTGCTCACTGCTTTCAGCTGTGCCACGAAGCTAACGGTGTGTTGTGACAGAAGTGTTCTGCTCATTCAGTAGGCAAACCAACTGACGTGTGAGTAGTTTGAGTAGTATACCTGTAAGGCGCTGAGTATCTGACGCACAGCTTCTGCTGCGTCGCGTTCAGAGTAATGCCCACGTTCCACGATGCGTTCGAACAGTTCCCCACCCGTCACAAGTTCCAGTATCAGTTGGATCTCAGTCCTTGTCTCGAACACTTCCCGCAGCTGGATCTGTGTAAATATGAATGAAATAGTGTATTTTAAAATTACGTTCTTTGTTATTTTACATCCATCATTAATTTTATTCTTAGATTTATACTGTATAAAAGCATAAAATATTTCCAAAATTTTACGCTGTACAAGCCCATAAACAGTATCGGAATATGTAAACCGCAAGACAACCTATATTTTGTGCATTTTATCAATTCTTTTTTTGCGTTGAGCTGATTTTTAAAAAAAGTAATATATTTGATATTTTCTTTATGCGAAATATAAACAATTATGAAAACTTATAGCTAAGGATGGGCATATGTTCTTAACGATGCCTTATCGATTGTAGTGACTGTTTAGCGCAAAATGATATAAGAGGATGTTTATTTGCCTCATGATACTTTTGGAAGAAAATTCCCAACATATTCATAATGAAAGATCTTTAATCTCGAACATGCTTAAAATATACTTTCAATTAATTATAATTTTAAAAAAATCGACGCCATTTTAAAACACTGCAAATAAGATTGCAAGGTAATCTTATTCTTTAATATTTCCTGCACTATCATCTTCCGTAATGCTAACATTTTTCCTACAGTTAACTAATACTAAGTTTGGAAAATCTGACTACAGATATTTCCTGTTGATATTACAGATCTTGCGTGTGGGCGCTCTTATGGAATCCCCTTGCTACAAAATCCCGTCATTTTATCCAATTCTCAACAAGTGAAAACAAAGTCACGTTCTCATTTGAATATTTTATTTCGTCTACGTAGTAATCTTGTAAGTGTTCCTTTTACAGAAGTTTTATAATCATATTCGTGTATGCATTTCCTCTTTCTTCTGTCCGCGTTACATAACCTAAATTTCCTGAATGTAATCAACGTAACAATACTGTATAACGAACATGAATGATGACGCTTCCCTTTATGCGGTTTTGTCAAGGTTTTAATATTGTCAGTAACGTGCCTTCAAAGAAGATGGCACATAACCCATTTTGATTACAACAGATATTTCATCACTATTTATGATATATAGTTCTTTAATATTCTTATAAGAATTATTTATCAAGTCTCTTCTGTAAGAAGTACCTAATAAAGTTTATTCTGGGATGCGCTTCCACGGTTTGCGTTGTGTTCCGACCCTGGGGTGACGCACGCCCTCTGAATCCTCATTGTACCTCCTACGTGTATTGCCCCAGTTTTATTTACGCTTTCACTCCACCTTGTGTTTGTGTGTGTCGGATTAAAGCTCCAGTAATTAAAACGTTTAATGGCTTATGTATGCAGGGTGTCCCAAAAGTGTATACACACAAGCTTAATGTTCCGTATTATAATGTGTATACATCTTCTGGGACACCTGTATATTCATATTTAGCAATTATACAGGTCTTATATACGCATTAGATAAATAAATACCTGTGACGTATAAGGCAAGAGAAGAGATGTGCTGCGTTACTAGCAGATCGAAAAACGTTGCTTTGTTCTGATATAATGTAAACTTTGTGGGTAATACTTATAACACTATAAATATTATAAAATAATAAAGAAAACGAATAGTGATCCTAGGGACAGTGGATCTGTGGCAAACTCGTGCTGCTGAATTTCTCATGTTGACCCCATGTTTATAACAGTGATACGTATTTATGATAGAATGGGTTATGGTACTCGTATTGAGAACAAAATGTTCTGTAGCTTTCGAAATCTGTTAGGTTCTATAACGTTACGCGTTATTCTGTGTAAATGTCTGTCAGACGTTTTTAGGTAGCCCTTAACGTACGGAATAACGTATCTAAATTTAGTAGACAAGAAGCAGACCGACTATTACCATAACTTAAAATAACAACTGCGAGAATTTTATGATTCTAAAAACGGCCTGTGCATGGTCGTTAAAACAGAGGCGTCGCATACATAAGGTGCAGTTGTGCTTCAAAATCCGACCGTCTCAGAGTGTAAGTGAAGTTTATTATGGGGTAGGTCTAAGAATTACTTGCCTCTTATAATCAGAGACTAATGCAGTATATGACCAGTCAAAGTTGACGGGGATAAAACTTTTTTACTTCAAACACAGCGTATTGCAGCATTATCTTTGCAAATCGCATCGAAAGAACAAAATGTATAACATGTAGTTTTAAAGCAAATTAAATTCGAAAAAGTCTTTACGGCGACTGAAACCACATTTCTTCCAAACGCACTAACACAAAACCGATCGCCTGACCCTAGACTTCCGCCAACTTCATACTCCGCTAGACCCCACCATAGGCGCCATCATAGCCTCGTTTGAATTTCTCGCTGCACGAGTCGCTACCGTCAGAATTTCAATTTTTTCCACACTGTATGAACGGCGCACTCGAACAGTCAATTGTCTCAGACATTTTTGTTACATTAGGAGTAGATACATTCCTACGTCTGGTAGAAAGGTCACCATCGGTAGGAAACGTATTTCTGTATATAAAGTAGAATGCACTTGCTAAGTTTTTATTTGAGAGGGATTGTTCACTGGTACACTTGTACTCAAAGGACAGGTACATAATCATCAGTCAGCACAGTTCAAATGACCTTTGATGTTAAGGCCACATGACCCTTGGTTTCATCAACATTGTACCACTGTGAGAATAACTGATAGATAATTTATAGCATTGACAGTCGCCATTACGAATTTGAAATTTATTACCGGCACTTTAATGAAAATGGTCTAAATCTCTCAAAATTTGCTGGACGCAAATACAAACACTGACAACATTCCTCGCTCCATATACGTATTTGTTTTCGGAAACAAATTAAACAAGAAGATGACAGTCTTCTGGATTGTTGCACTTTGTAATTTGGCAGACGTTTACCGACGTTTCAGAGGTGTCTACATCATGGAGCATCGTTCTCGTTTGTGCTGGTGAGCTATAAATAATTCTGTACAGTTTTGTTACATAACAAATTACTATTTACTATTTTGAAAAGGTTACGAAGAGTACATATTGAGCCTAATGCAGTAAGTAATATAGATTTTAGCCATTTCAAACAAGCTTTTATGATAAATACGATGCTTTGAAATCTCCGTGACTGACTTTGTAACGTAACAGAGCCTGTGTATCTTTTGTTACTGGCCTTTCTCTTGATCGATTGAGTAACTATTGATCTAAGAGTTTGTTGTGTTATCTCAGCTCTAATAAGACCATGGTGACCGTATCCGTAGGCGCAGATCTTCTTGCTTTATCGAGGCATGTATCAGATGCATGATGTTTTGATTCACAACACCGTCGATACTACTGAATAAACTTATTACATATCCGTGTTCATGATTACTCTCTACGTCGCACTTTAATAGCATTATTATGTGAAAATCTGTAATGTAATTCTAAAAAAACATAATTTTGCTCACAAGGTATGCTCTGTTTCTTGTCGAAAAATGATTCTGCAGATTGTACGTGGGGGCGGGGGGGGGATATTGGCCTATTGAGCCGGGCAAACCAAGGATTGTTGTAGCAAAATATTCAGAGTGGTTCAGTATTGCATTAGAGCTTTTAAAAATGAAATGAAATATAAATACTGTGCAGGTTGTACTTTTAACAATTAAAACTTTTGATGTAGTTAAAATAAAACAATTCAACTTTAATCAATACATATTGCGTTTATTAGCATTATATAGTTGACATGATTACTCTTATTTATTTATTTCTATTAACCAAGTGGGACGTCTCCCTGGATTTTCTTTAATGAACACAATTGGTAAATTACGCGATATGTCGATATGCTGAATCTATATCATTATCGAGTGCTTTTACCCGATATATCGTGTCAGTTCACCTGTGGGTTACTTACGATATGTGGGTGCCTAAGCTTCAGTAAAATTCCAATTTCTGTTTGCACCATCTTTTTGTTCAAACGTCCCTGCAAGATAAAGTATACAGGAATTATTCAATCATATAATTTTGGTCACGTATGTACAGAGAGATCAAAAAGGCTGCATATATATTTGAGTTTTTATTTTAATGTTGTTTGGAAATACTCGTGTAATTATGGAAATATGATTGACATTATTCCGCTTCTAGATGACAGTAGCTTAACAGAGTCTGTGAGTTTTATTGGGAATAAAAGTAGTAAATCGGTGTGTGTGTGTGTGGATGGCTGACAGCAGATCAGATTAGTTATTTCTGTTCTCTTGATTGGACTTTCTTTGAAATTATACAAGAAAATCAGCTCATAATGCCTAATAAACATCTCTGAATTATTCATATTTATTTCTGTTTCTTCGTCACATGCTTTTGGCACTTCATTATCTGTGTTACATCTACGAGTGCATTAAGGTCCGTTTTATGTAAAGAACTTTTAGGTTTAGTACGATTTTTGCACAGAAATAATAATAAACTGCGAGGTAACTAGAAAGCAGAGAAGCAGGATAGTCTGTATCTATTTATAAATTATCTGAAAGTAAAATATACAGCGTACATTTATAAGCGTAGATGTTATAAGTTAAAACTTTATGAGAGAGTTGTGTTACGTTGTGTTGAAGACAGGTCCCTATGCGTACTTCGAAAATCGTGTTTAATTACAGTAAAACCTCTCTAACTTGGACACTTGCGGTTCCACGATAATGTGTCCAACTTACAGAGGTGTCCAAGATAGAGGGAAAGGGGAAAATCATCCTTTAAAATTGTCGTGTAATAACAATGTGGTAATTGTAAAGTATTATGAAGCCCTTCACAAAAAGGAAATTATTGATAAGAAAAATCAAAAGGGTAAATTAAATTTTTACAAATTTTGTTTTCACTAAATTAAACTTCCATGGATAAGCTCAAAGGGAAAGGCACCCATACTTTACGTTTACTGACAATGTATTCTATTTTACATAATCTAACTACTGTAGGCTTGCTCGAATTAAGAATTAATCACAGTAATAATAATCTTTTGAAACCCACTCTCATGGTTGCACATTACACCCCAGCCTCAATGAAATTTTAAATGTTCAGAATGTATTCTTTTTAATTGTACTTAAGGCATTAGCTCAACATATGATGTCACTTATTTCTTGTAAAAAAGTCTGTCACAAGACACTGCTTTTTTGCTTTTATCTTGGAATTTGCCATCCACTTTCTAATTTTCACCGCAATCCAAATAATGTTTCAACCACTCCCGGTTGATTATGAGCAAACGCATACCGTTCCAATTTCTGTTAACTCAGTTGCAAGCACAGTACTGACAAAGTTAAAACTCTAGTTAGGTGTTTAACAAAAGAATAACTATACACTTTCACTGCATTCCAGTGATATGCTCAATGTCACACACCCTCAACAATAACCAAATCCTCAGTCAGAAATTCAAAACAACAAAATACTAACTGTAAACGTTTCCCATAAAAGCATCGAAGTTAAGTGCATGAACCTGTCCAACTTACAACAAGAAGTGTGACCAAGTTCCAGGATAAAGGGGTTTCCAAGATACAGTAAAACCCCTCTAGTTGGACACCCCTATATCCTGGACACCCCTCTATATTGGACACTTTTAATTGTAACCGGCGAATATCCTATAATTTTACAT